ATGAACAAGTACTTCAACAATGATAATTAACAATGAAGAATTAGCATGTAATAATAGAGGAGACAACAAGTTCAATTAAAGCATGGGGACCAATTTAGCACGTAGGATGTAGAACATCTACTAAACAAGTCAACTAAGGCAATTAAGGATATTCTAACACAATTATAGATAATTTGACTATGGGAGTTTGGAACATAATAGGGCATTTCTATTTAAGCATGGAAATAGTCTAAGTGGCGTAAGCCGGTTAAATACTACGTACAACCCATGTACCAACTCGTCATCTTGCGTACACGGATTTCACTTAGCACAATTGAATCAAACAATACCAATTCTAAGGGGTAGTTCTTCCACACGAAGTTAGGCAGGACACTTACCTCAAATAGGCCAATGTAATGCTCAAAAATAGCTTTTCCCTTACAATCCGCCTCCACAAGGCTCAAATCTAACGAAAATCGACTCATTAACATCAAAAAGGCTAGGGAATTCAATTATAATAGATAAAGTTAAGATTTTTACACTTTTCCTAAAAAGTCAACAAAAATCAATCGGGGCCCGCCCAGTCGAACCCCGGTTCCAATGGTAGATTCTGTCTACCCATGACCCCACGAGTTCATATATGTGATTAATTTCAAAATTCGAGTCCAAATCGACTCTCAAAACTCAATTTCTTATTTTTCAAAAAACTTGACAAAGTTTAATAAATTTCTTCTTTGATTCACTTGATTTTGATGTCAAAATCTAAGATAAGTTGATGGAATATGATTAGAAATAGATTAAGGTCACTTACTCAAGGTTTGTAGGTGAAAATCCCCTCTCCAAATCGCCTCCTACGGAATCTAGGGTTCAAAAATGAGAAAATGAAGACAAAAATCTTGTCTCCCAACTATTTGTTCAGTTGCAGATGTCGCAATTGCGACATGGGTTCGCAATTGCGAATAAATCCTCGCAAATGCGGCACTGAAGACTTGAGGGACTCTTCGAAAATGCGAAGGTTGGATCGCATTTGCGACCACTGTTGCCCTCGCAATTGCGACAAAATCATCGCAATTGCTATCTTAGCCCATCTCAGCAGACTTCGCAAATGCGAACACCGGGTTCACAAATGCGAACCTAGCAGTCCAGGCCTACCTTCGCAAATGCGAACTCAGACCTCGCAATTGCGAGATCTGAGGCCTGTTCAGAAAACCAGCAATCTTTTGATTCCAACCACACTCCGCTAAGCGTCTGAAACTCACCCGAGCCCTCGGAGCTCCAAACAAAACATCCACACAAGTTTAAAAACATCATACAAACTCGCTCGCGCGGTCAAAATACGAAAATAAAATCTAAAACTACGAATTGAACTCTAAAACACATGATTTTCAAAGAGATTTTTCAAGAACTTCTATAATTTCAACTAAGCGCTTGAATCCTATCAAATCAACTCTGAACGACACTAAATTTTGTAGACAAGTTCTAAATGTCATAACGGACCTATTCCAAGTCCCAAAATCAAATTTCAAGCTCGGTAGCTAAAAGTCAACCTACGATCAAACTTTTCAACTTAAAATTGGCGAATTTCGGCAAATCAATACAAATCAACCTACGGACTTCAAAAATGAATCCCGGACATACGTCCAAGTCTAAAATCATGATACGAAGCTATCGGAGTCATAAAAACACATTTCCGGGGTCGTTTTCGCAAAAGTCAAAGTTTGGTCAACATTTTCAAATTTAAACTTCTAAGTCTAGAATTAAGGGTCCAAATCAACCCGAATGCTTCCCGAAACGAAACTAATCAACCCCGCAAGCATAAACTCACATAGGTGAAGCAATAAAAGGAATAACATGTCACAATTACACAAAACGATCGATCGAGTCGTTACAGTGACAATTAATAATTGAAAAATAAATCACCTGAAAGTTGATATTTTGATTTTTCTTTTCGCCCATGCTCCAAAGAGGATGTATTCACACTGTTTGCGATCATCATCTAGAGGAACAAGACTATCAAATTACCAAATTCAAGAATACACTAAATAAAAGTCAAGTTCAGAGGGATCTCCATCTATTTTGCCTTAGTTTTATTACTAGACTTATTCATGCTGTAGTGAATAGTGATCATGGCTTGGTACTTACTAATTACTATGGCTGCCTTTGGTTATCCAGATAATAAAACAAAACAAAAAGGTCCGAAATTATGATTAAGCAAAGAAAGGATGTTGGAGTAGGGAGGGTATCCTAAAGTTCCAAAAAAGACAGTATTGCTTTCATTTGGTCACGAGAATATTGGAAGAAAACAGTTGGGACTGCTTTCCACTTTACAGTTACTATTTTTTTTCGAGCCTTGGGTATGAAAAAATCCTTGGTAGGGAACGTTTCACCCTCGAAAGAGGCCCTACGCGACGCGAATCCGAATATAATTGGACTCCAATGCGGGTATCGAACACCGGATGGAAAATCAAAAAAAAATATCTTTCTTTCGCTTGTACTATTATATATTGCTTAAAAATTTATTTGTATTTAGTGTTTACACAAAAACTTATTAATATGTTATATTAAGTGACAAAATGCAATGAAATTATGCTTTAATTATTTATGATTTAGCGATAACAGTGTACATTAAAAACATATTGTATATTTATTGATTTGGTATAAATACCGATACAAATAACTTTTTATTTCTAATGAATAATATTAAATCATTTATCGATATGAACCTAACTTTTTTTAACAAATAAATTATTTAAAGGACAATTACACTGTATGCATGAGTAAAAATTTAGAAGATTGAGTAGCCTATTGAAGATAATGAAATACGTGTAAAACGTTTTTACAAATCGTCAATGTATAAACTATTCATTACAATTACAAAAACCGTCAAAATTAAACGAAAAGTACAACTTTATGTCCTGCATTCATTTCCCGCTCAGCACCGATACTTGCACATACACGCATGCCCCACCTATCTATTCCCTCGTACATATATGTCATCATAGAAAAAGACATATCCTAAAGGCCAAATATATAGATAGCCTATTAACTTAGACCCAATTTTTTATTTCGGCACTTTAATTTAGTCTTGTTCTATTTTGGTCCTTCAATTTCATTTCTTTTGTTCCACTTTAATATAAAAGATTACTAGATTCCATGTGTAATTTGCCTCACCCTTGTAGGCACGTGAAAGCCATTTTTTAAGCCAAATTTCATACTCACAAGGCGGATTCAGAATTTAAATCTTATGGATTCAATTTTAATATTTTTTACATTGAACCTATTATATTTTTAAAGTTATGGATTTATATCTATTTTTTTTACAATTTTAATGAATTTTTACATACAATATTTTACTCTGCGTCGAAAGTTATGGGTTCAGTTGAACCCGTAGTTATTACTGTAAATATATATACAAAAATATTTTTTCCACGGGAGGAGGGCAGAAAAAACGAAAAAAATAATAATTTAAAATTACAAAAAAAAATTGCGGGGGGTGGGGGGCAATGGGGGGGGGGTAGCAGCTGGGTATTTGTCCGAGCTGCATTTTTATCTGCGATAAAAGTTTTTGTGTCAAAAGTGGAACAAAAGAACCCATTATATTTTTAAATGTTATGGGTTTATATCTATTTTTTTTTTATAATTTTTACATACAAATTTTTACTTCGCATCGAAAGTTATGGGTTCAGTTGAACCTGTAGTTATTACTGAAAATATATTAAAAAAAGTATGTTTTCCTCGGGATGTGGGCAGAAAAAACGAAAAAATAATAATAATTTGAAATTACAAAAAAATTAAAAAAAAATTGTGAGGGTGGGAGCAGTGGGGTGGGGTAGCATTTGAGTATTTGCACGCGCTGCATATTTACCTAGGAAAAATTTTTGTGTCAAAGTGAAACAAAAAAAATAAGGTTAAAAAGTCAAAATGGAACAATACTGAGTTAAAATGCCAAAATAAAAAAATGGGTCAAATTTAATGGTCTGTATATATATTTGGCCTATCCTAAATGCCATCTTTTCTCAACCAAAACAATTCCATGAATTTCTTTTTCTTTGTTGTTTTTAGTGTATTACGTGGAGTTTCATTCTTCTGTGAACACTTTAGACATGCTATTTATTTAATTAAAAAAAAGATTTGAACTAGTTTGACTCTCTATTTTCCTTTACTTTTTTCTTCTTGTTTTTCTCTTTCTTTTCTTACCTGCCGTTTCAAATTAGACGAGATACTTTCCTTTTTAGTTTGTTTCAAAATAAATAACACATTTTTAAATTTGAAAATAATTCAACTTTAAACTCTTCATTTTACTTATTTTACCCTTAATAGAAGCTTTTGTACCACACAAATGTCATGGCCCAATAAAGTTTTTATTTCTTAAATTTCGTGTCAAGTTAAACTATTTCATCTAAATTGAAATGAATGGAGTATTTATCCCTCCGTTTCAATTTAGATGAGGTAGTTGACTCGGCACAGAGTTTAAGGAAAAAAGAAAGACTTTTAAAATTTGTGGTCTTAAAAGCTTAAGGGGTAAAAGCTTTGTAGGGTCATGACATTTATGTGATTATAAAAGCTTCTCGTTAAGAGTAAAATGGATAAAATAAGGAGTTTAAAGTTGAATTATTTCCAAATTAAAAAATGTGTTATTTATTTTGTAGAACACTAAAAATTTGATTCTCAAATAAGGCCGATAACTAATCTCCATTCTGGACCTGCCACTACCTACCTGTTGAGTTTTCACGCCAAAGGAAGACTTGAGAAGAATTAGCCGTGAAAGCATTCCAAGTACGCGTGAGAGGATATTTATTCTTGGTACCTTCCTATGGACAAACAAACATATCAGATATGGATTTAAATTTGATGGTCTCAAGCTTTAAGGTTATTAATTAGCACAAATTCATTGTACTTTTGAAGGAGATTCCATTAAAGAGGTGCAGATATAATTAAGGAGAAAAGTAAGAAGTTTGTTGACTAGCCAATTAATTTCTTTTACCACTACGTACTGAAAGCTAATTAAAGACGAGTTAAAGTGAAATATCAAACACGTACGCCAAAAGTACTTGTCACTTAGTAGTAGTATTGCTCCTAATTATATATAGAAGTTAACAGTTAGGTGAGAATTAATCACCAGACCCATGATTACTGGCACTGGCAGCAGCTTGAACATCATCTTCAGGAAGGAAGGGGCAATTCATTCAGATCAAAATCCAGAATTCTGCTACTAGTATTATTTCTAACACAAGAGATTTGACTTGATGATGATGATAGTAGAGGCTCATGATCATCCATTGTAGTAGTAATATTATTTGTTGAGCTGCTAGTAGCAGCCGTAGAAATTACTGTGTTATAAATGGAAACATCTTGTATGGACCCTAAATCCTTTAACTTCTTCATCCTCCTCTTTATCGGCCGACAAATATGCGTTTCCTCCTCTTTGTCAGCAGTCTTGTAATTGCTATTCGTGGTTTCCAATTTTCCTGTATCTTTAAGTGAATGTCCATGGGCTAGCAGCATAAGATAATGAACGCCATCGCGTAATTGCTCCTCTTCTGATGATGATGATGAAGAATTTGTCCTGCGGCCTCTCTTAGCAGTAACTGACCAACCACCTACAGCCTTTGATAAATCAGTAGGAGGAGGGTGAATTCCTCTCCAATCCCTATCAGGATGACACCTCATATGCCCAAACAATGATTTCTTTGATGCGAATTTCTTACCACAAATTGAACAAGTAATTGGTGGTTGATTTCGGCCCATCTTCTTCTTCCTCAAAATATCAACTTCTTGTTGCTTCATCTGTTGTTTTCGTTTCTTGGCCCAGGGAATGGGTTGAGCGTGAATTCTCACGTGACCCCCTAAAGCTTTACCTGAGCTAAACCCTTTATTGCACACATGACATATATTCCTACTAGGAGTATTATTCTTCCTCTGAATCTGAACTTTATCTTCATCTTTATAGTCGTCATCTTCATTCAGCTTTACCCATAGTGTTCCAGTTCCACTTAACCTATGTTCTTGCTTATCCACCATTAATGGAAACAATCACATATATACATGTATATGGGCCAAGAATGTGAATAGTAGAAGAAAAAGGAAGCTAATGATCTGAGTGAGTAGTAGTTGCAAGATAGTGACTTCTGCTGAGGTTTGCACACAAGAAAGAGATATATATTACTATGTAAATGACGCGGTAACCGATAAGATGAGAAAAATTAGGGGAGATGAAACTTCCGATGAAAAAACACCAATTACCCAATTTGAATGAAGAGGAAGAGAGGCAGAAAAGGAACAAATCCGAAATGGAAAAACCAATGTACATGTGTCAAAGAAATCAAAATTATATGCAATTCATAAGGCAAAAACCATGATAGTGGGAAAGGAGCTGAGTCATTAGTCTTAACTGCTAAGGGTGGACTGTGGAAATTGACTATCACGTTCCTTTGGTTTTCCTAAACAATCCTTTCTCTCTATAAGATTTAATGTGGGGGTGCAAATAATAGTTTTTCATTTTTCAAATTTAGGGGTGTTCATAAAAACCCAAAAAATCAAATCAAATCAACCAAATAAATCGATACTAAGGTTTGGTTTGGTTTTAATTTTGAATTTTAAAAACCGATCAAATTTGATTTGGTTTTAATTTTAATCAATTAATAACCGAAAAAACCGAACCAAACCGACTATAGAAGTATATTTAAATTTATTATTACGATATATGTATGTTTTTATATAATATTTCTAAAATTGTACATATTAGTTGTTTGCATTTTTAGTCTAATTTTTACTATTATAATAATCTAATTATTTACTTTACATTCTAGTTTGATTGGTAGTTTTCTTTTGCTAAGTACTAGAATTTATTTCATGTTAAAATAATCACTTTTTAATTGAGTACTTAAATTATTCATCACTATTTGATTCAATTATCATTAATATATTTTGATAAATGATAAATTTCTCAAAGAGCAATTGGTTTGATAGTGTTACGTTGAAAATTTAGTCTCTCAGATATGTGTTTGGTAGTGCATGTCTCATATTTAAGAAAAAAAACAATAAATAACCGAAAAACCGACAAAAACTGAATCGATAAAAAACCGACTTAATTAGGTTGGTTTTGTTCCAATATTTGATGAACCGACTTACTTGGTTTGGTTTCTTTTTAAGGAAAATCATCCAAACCGAGCCATGAACACCCTTATTCAAATATTTAACCATTTTACTTTTCCAAATATTATAAGTTGTATGCTGGCAACTTAGAATCATGTGTAATTGAAGAAGAAGATATTCGATATCCTTAAAGATATTATTGCCAATTAATAAGTCAAAATGGAATTTCAATCAAGTAAAAACTCTTGCTCCTAAAGTAAGTGACGTTTTCTTATAAAAAAATGATTTAATGACTTCGAAGTGCAATTAAGTAAGATTTTTGTGATCATCCGCTCAATTTATAACCCCTTTTTGGAACAGAAGAAAACTTCTAAAATACAAAATATATCCAAAAGTTCTTCAAGAGGTTTTCCAAAAACCATCCACAAAGCACTATATATATTTCTAGCTCTCTCATATAGACTTAAGAGAAAAAAGATTTAACGGTAGTAATAAGTAAGGGGAATGTATTGGCATGGATTGATGAAAAAATATATGTTTACATGATTAACAATGTGCATTCAATTTTATCCGTCAAATGCGTGAAGTGGTAAACAACGAGTATAATTTTCCTCTTCAACGCGTTTTAGAGCATGCGTTTGGGTTGAATTCTCATTTCCATTTTTTGACACTTGGAAAATTTCCCATACCGGTAGGGTGTCAATGGATATTTAAAAACCGATTAAACTGACCGAACCGTACCGTATCGAACCGATTTTTAGGTTTCTTTTAATAAAACCGTAGGTTTTTATATAAATCTCTAACCGTACTGATAATTAGGATAGGTTTTTATTTTATGAAAATACCGAACCGTACCGAATAAATTTACATGTGAAAAATATATTTATATATTAAGTTCAAAAATAATAAAATATTAAATTTTCCTTGTGTATTAAAATTATAAAAACAATTACAGGCAAAAAAGTAATAAAATTAAAATCATAATTCCCAAACCTATTATGCTACTCCCACTGAAACTAAATTATTTCCAGCATATTCACTAGCAAGACATAAGGTATTTGTAGCAATTATGAGTAGCAAACTCTAATGTATTGATTATGTTTTCTTTCGTATGATATAGATTTATCTTTTTGAATATTTAATCTTCTATAGACTTTATTCTTGAGTCTCAGTCCCAGCTTGGTTAATATCTTTCCACTCGAGTGATTTATATTTTCTTTATATTTATTTGTTTAATTTCTTTTACGTCGTTGTAGAGTAGTTGATGAATCTATACTCTAGCCATCTTTCACATTTTCTTAATTCATCACCCTTTAAAACATAAAAATGTCTAAAGAGTTTTGTTAAGTCCTATAAAAGTACGTATTTTATTCCATTCTACTTCTACTAGTGACTTTTACTGACATATAAAAAAATACCGAAAATTAACCGAACCATAACGATACCGAAGAGAAACCGATATGATTGGGACGATTTCGAAAAATCTAGTTTTGGTTATATATAATAGAATAACCGAAAAATTGATATGGTACAAAATTTACAAAATATCCATCCGAACCGAACCATTGACACCCTTACATATCGGCCTTCTTAATAGCGTCATTATATAGGGTAAAATATGTTCATTAAATGCTTGTATGATAAAGTGACACGTGGAATCGAAGACAGAAGTAGATCAGGTCCGAAGGCAACGAACTTGTTTTGTTCCCGAAAGGAGTGGTGTTCATGAAGGCAAAATAAATGCTTGCCACCCAGTAGCATTTAATGGAGAATATTCTATAGTATTAAGTACATAGTCCATTACAGAGAATATGGCATTCACTGCCTATCATTACACATTCTTCAATGTCCCTCATAATTGTCATTTAAGAAGTGTTGATCCTAGGACCTTGTTCCTTATGCACCATTATAAATAGAGAACTCAACAACCATCGTAAGGGGACGAATTTTCTGACAAGTTGATACTATACTTTGTTCAAAAGCTCAATAATGTTTTATCTTCTTGCTTATTAACACTATTACTACTGCCTTCAGAAGCTTTGCTCTCGAAATCAAGATTGCTACTGTCTTATCTCGATTCAATGTTACGTCTTATATTCTTGTTTAATTTATTTATCATTTTGGGATTAAATCAATTCACTTATCTATAAACCACGTATAAATTCAACTGTACCGTTTTACTGGTAAACAGTTTGGCGCCCACCGTGGGGTTTAGACAGTTGTGTAATTAAGTTGATCCTTACATCTATTACTAACTCGTTTGGTTCTTTGTTCTTAGCAAAATTTATAGAAAATAGCATATAACAGTTTCAACATCGCACACAATATTGAGGACCAAGGAAATCAGCCTCAACATGAGGATTCAATCAGTAATACTCGCAACGAGGGGGATGAGGCCATGTCGGCCAACGGTGGGCAATATCCGCGACATGTTTGAGAAGCAACTTTTGATGATGCTGAAAGCGAGCACGTCATTGAAACAGTAATGATCTTGAGATAGCAACAAAAAGCCATTATAGGACATCTCTCACGACAGGTTCAACTCACGAAGGAATTGAAGCATGCATTTTTAGGTGCTTCTAACAACGCGAATGGACGAGGTCCAGTTCCTCCCGCAAATCAAACAGCTCAGAGGATCGACAAAAACACCCCAAGGGGCGAAGTCGACTTTGATAGGGCCGGAGGGAAGGGTAACGGATCTGGTAACAACAACGAGAATGATCCCTTTAAAACCGAACTCATGCAGTTTATGAGGGAGATAAACACCCGAATAGATCAAATTTCGGGCACCCCACCAGTGTTGAAAGGACCAGACTCAAAGAATAACACCCAGTTGCCATTCAATCTAAGCGCGGCACTAGAATTGATCCCGAAGCGGTTCAAAATGCCAGATGTGCCGAAATATGACGGGTCTTCGGATCCTCAAGAGCATATCACCACCTATACAATGACGGTGAAGGGGAATAATTTAGCTTCCCACGAGATTGAGTCAGTCTTACTAAAGAAATTCGTGGAGACCCTCACGAAGGGGGCCCTATCATGGTATTCACTTTTGCCTGAGCATTCCATAGATTCCTTCGAGATGCGCAGACCCTTTCATCAAGGTCCATACCGGAGCCAGGAAGGTATAGGCCGGAAAGGCCGACATATTCAGGATTGCACAAGGAGAATCTGAATTGCTACGGGAATTCGTGACCAGATTCCAGAAAGGCAAGATGTTGCTCCCGATCATACCAGACGAATGGGCAGCTAAAGCATTCACTAAAAGTCTGAATCCGAGAAGTCACAAAAATTGAAAGAATGTTTGCTTGAGTTTCAGGAAACAACATTGGCGGATGTCCACAACTGGTACGAGTCAAATATAAAAATTGAGGATGATCAGCTCGGTTTCTCGGCATCAACCAAGGGTTGGGACCGGGAAAAGAATAAAGAGAAGTCAAAGGACGATTTCAACACAGATCGACGAACTTCAAGAGGTCAGTTTTTGCCCTATGAAAGGGTTGAAGGACGCGGTGAAAGTTTCTGGTCGGCGGATAGATTCATTACCAATAAAAGAGTTGATCGGGGCCGGAATAACAGGTCATTGCAAGACAAGGAGTTATCAGGTTCCTGAGATTCCTCCTACCCCAGGCTTTCTGAATACAACTTCAACGTCAGCATAGTAGATCTAGTATCGGCTATGAGGAACTTTAAGGAAGCACGGTTTCCGAAGCCGATGAGATCCGATCCTAGTCAGAGGGATCCTAATTTATGGTGTGAATACCATGGGACCAACGGCCTTCGGATAAGGGATTCGCTTTTGCTCAAGCACTCCATAGATTACTTCGAGATGCTTGCGGACCCTTTTATCAAGATCCATGTCGAGGCCAAGAAGTACAGTCTCGAAAGGCCGACATATTTAGGATTGCACAAGGAGAATCTAAATTGCTACGGGAATTCATGACCAGATTCCAGAAAGACAGGATGTTGCTCCCGGCCATACCAGACGAATGGTTAGTTGAAGTATTCACTAAAAGTCTAAATTCAAGAAGTTCCGACGCTTCACAAAAATTGAAAGAAAGTTTGCTCGAGTTTCAGGCAACAACATAGGAGGATGTCCACAACTGGTACGAGTCAAAGATAAGAATTGAGGATGATCAGCTCAGTTTCCCGGCATCAACCAAGGGTCGGGATCGGGAGAAGAATAAAGAGAAGTCAAAGGACGATTTCAACACAGATTGACGAACTTCAGGATGCCGGTT